AGACGTCGTCGGCGGCGATATGCACCGGAGAGTCGCCATCGTCGCCGGAAAACGAGGTTCGTAACGTATCGTAAGGACGAAATGGTGGGTGGCGCCTAGCCGAGAAGGCCATGCCGTGGTTGTGGCGCCTAGCCAGGACGCCGCCACCGTGGCATAGGCGCCTGGTGGGGAAGCCTCACCCATGGGAGTGGCGCGTGGCCAGGACGCCGGAGCCACGGCCGGGGCGCCTGGCCAGGACGCCGCCACCATGGCGGCGGCGTCCTAGCCAGGCGCCCCCACCGTGGCTCCGGCGTCCTGGCCAGGCGCCACTATGGGCTGCTTTAAAATTTTTTTTTTTTAAAATTTAATTTCTCTTTTTTTTTCTTTTTTTTTTTGTTTTGAATTTTTTTTTTGTTTATTTGTTTGTTTTTGTTTTTTTTTTTGATTTGTTTTTTATAATTATGTTTTTTTTTATGGATTTTTGTTTGCGTTTGTTTAATTTTGTTTTAATTTTTTTTGAATTAAATTTTTTTTAATAAAGTTTTTTTAATGCATCTTTTAAACCAAAACAAAAAACTCACAAAACTTAAAAAATATAAAATTATAAAAACTTAAAAAAAGAAGAACATCAAAATTTTAAAAAAAATTTATAAAAAAAAAAGGGAACATAAAATTTTTTTTAAGTAAAAAAACAAATTCAAAAAAAAAAAAAACAAAAACAATAAACAAGAACATAAAATTAAAAATTAAAAAAAAAAAAAGAGGAACATAAATTTTTTTTTAAAAAAAGCAACAAAATATAAAACAAAATAAAAAAAAAATCAGAAACATAAACTTTAAAATTAAAAAAAAGAAAAAACAAATTTAAAAAAAAATTAAAAAAAAAAATATATAACGAGGCGCCTCGCCCAGACGCCGTGACGGTGGCGGCGGCGCCTAGCCCAGACGCCACTACCACGGCGGCGGCGCATTGGCCAGACGCTGGTGCCGTGGTGGTGGCGTATGGGCTAGGCGCCGCCGCCACCGTCACGGCGTCTGGCCTAGGCGCCTCCGCCGTGGTGGTGGCGTCTGGCCTTGGCGCCGCCACCGCCTCCGAACTTTTTTTTTTATTTTTTAAAAACAAAATTAATAAAAAATACCTTCTCGCCGGAAAACCGCTGTCCACCCGCCGCCGGTGCCGCCACTTCCTTGCCGGGCCGCCTCGACATCGCTCGGAAAGTTTTTTAGAGAGAGAAAGTGGAAGTAGAGAATAGAGAGAAGAAATTGTGTTTTTTACTTTGAGGGCAAAAGTGTCATTTCACTCTAATTTTGTGGGCTTTATGTGGAGATTTGCGGGCGATGTTTAGCAATCCACATACTTTTACCACCAAACACTATTTTCACCCACTACATTACCAAACACCCGAAATTTTTCAATAAATAGTGATTTAGTGCCAAACACGTCCTTAATTGATTCGTATGCGAATCTCCCCATCTCCGTTCGTTCAACGTTTAGCCTCACTCTTACTACATACCAATGTGATAATTCAACCGTTGTCAAATGTACCATTGTACCTACACTCGTATAGTCATATAGACGTATCACCACAGGTCTACTGCCCATACGGATGTTAGGCTTGCAAATGAACAATGAAAAGGATGGTCAATTTGACAATTGTGAAATGTCAATGGTTGAGTCTCATTAAGTAGCTTGGTGAGCAAGACAACGGAACGATATAATGTGGATGGATGTGGGGCCACTTGGAGTATGGCGAGTGGCGACTAGGCGATGTTATTGTTCGTTTCAAATTCCTAATTGTGGGGGATGTTGTAGACCATGTACTAGTGTATCACCATATCTTTTTTTTCGGTTGTAAAAGTAGGGATCTTTTACTCGGCAAATATACCCTTTTTTTTTTTATGTCAAAAAATAATATAAATAAAAATAATACCACTCTTATTGTTTTAGGTTTGAATAAGTACGTTGAAAGTCAATAGTATGGAGTAGAATATTAAATCTTTGTAAGGCGATGGAAAAACAAGGACATAAAAATTGATTGAGGATTTCGTTTAAGAAGATTGTTCTAAACTTCTAAACTCTAATGATAAGGAGAGAGAAAAAAAGGATAAGTGAAAAAATTAATAGTAAAATTTAATGTTCGAAATAAACAATCTTTCAAGAACATCTCTTTCTAGTATACGAGACAATCTTCTTGGAAGATGAAGTGACTAGAGCATAATTTACATTATAAGCCATGTGTAGAAAATGAGTAAGATGGGATATGGTTCACATTGATGAACAGGGACACAAGGTTGTTAATTAAAAAATAAAATAAAATAAAATAAAAAAGTGCAAATAAAACAAAACTGGAAACTATATAATGCTTGGGAAAAAAATGACTTAAATTTGATTTTGATATCTGTTATATAAGCTTTTTGAATCACCTAAATCGCCCTAAAAGCTTAATAAAATAATTTTTTTTAAAATACAATATTCACCTAAAGAAGTCGGTTTCCAAAATTCTATGACAATTTAGAAACTTCAATTTTTTTTAAAAAAAAAGACTTAAAAGGGAAACTCATAAAATTAAAATATAATACTGCTTTAGTTCTTTTAAAGTGTTATAATCAGACCGACACATAATTTTAGACAATTTAATTGAATTATTTATAACAAGAGATATGTTGGGTAATTGACATATTTTAAAAGAAAAATATTGGGGTCAATAGCTTATTGAAATGTAAGAATATGAGAGGAAGGAAACATTTAAAAAAACAAAAGTAGTAGTGGGTTTGAGTGAGGATCATGAGAGAAGAGATCTATAATATTAAAATGCAGTTTTTTTTGCCACAAGGGGAAGTAAATGGAGTAACACTTACAAAAACGAATGAAATAAACATAAGTAACCATGTTTGCAATATTCCAAGAATTAAATCAAATAATATACTCCCTCCGTTCGTAAAACTTTGATTTAGTTTGCATTTGTGCAGTCTCCAATATGTATTTTTTACCATGAATATCTTCGGACATGTGTAAATGAAAATTATAAAAAGTTGTTTGGAGAGTTTACATTAAGGAGAATCTAATAAGATCTCACATGCTAATTTATATTTATTGTATGGATTAAAGAATGTGGTCAAAGTTATTTTAGTTTGACAACATAAATAGTAAGTGATCGAGTTGAACTTTTGCACGCATTTTTCACACATTATTCCTGGACTATCTTTTGTGATTTATCTGTAATAGTCATGTGGGATTTAATTAGATTCATCTTGATTTCTAATTTTCAATTCTCAACTTTTTATAGTTTTCACTAATCTATAATTAAAGATATTGATTATCAAAATTACGCATAGGCAGGCGGGAAATCACAAATTGTGCAATTAAAAAAAATGAGAGGAAGTATGATAGAAAATTTATTGAGGTTTTGTATGATATTCTGTAAGAATCTTTGATTGCATATGAGCTATATTATTATTCTTATATGGGTAATAATATTAGTAGTATTTGATTTGATTTTTATTCTACTATGGGCTTGTTTATTTTTGGAAGAATGCAACTATGATACTCATATTGATTATATTTCTATTTTCATATTGGATTTTCTTTTATGACTTTTAGTTTAAGGGCAATTTAGGTAGTTTAAAAGTTATCGTTCATATTTCTTTACGAGTATAAAACAGAGTAATTAAGATACCCAAAAGGAAAATGAGGAAAATAAAAAGTGATGGCAGTAGGATTTTTATACCCTCTAAGTCCAATGATAGTTTGGACACTTCTTATATTCATTCATATATTTTAAAATAATTTCACACAACTCAATTTCAGAATGTTTTAGAATAGTTTGAGTTTTTGATATAGTTTTATTGATTATCAATTGTATATCGCCTTACTTTTGGCCTTTGGGCTTACTATTCCTTCTCACACCTATTATGAGTATTTGATTAAAATAGTCGTATGCTCCTTAATATTATATCAAGTGAGTTTGCACATAGTTTTAGCCTTTTAGGAATAATTCTTAGTAGTAATGTATTACGGAGTATATGAAATTGAATGAAATTATGCATGAGCGGAGTTAATACAAGTACAAAGTGATTATAAATATACGTTATTTGCGGGGGAAAGAATCAATAAATAATATGATGTATAAAACGATTAAATATACATTGAAAATTGTGCATAACATAAAAAAAAAGGAAGGGTAAATTGGACAAACAAAAAGATAAATTGGACAAATAAAAAGATAAATCAAAAGTGAGAAAACTAAGGAAAAGTAATTGTATTCAAAAGGATATCTCACATTTGGGTACATTATGTAACCGAAATCATAGTAAAATGGTCAACAAAAAACTTAATTGAAATATAAAAATAAATTAAAACCCCATTTTAATTTTATAAATACAGTTAAAACCCCATTTAATAACTAAAATCAATAGTTATATAAATTCTTCTAAAACCCTCCTTTCTCTCTCCTCTTCACACACACTCTCTCTACACCCTTCTCTGAGTGATCTCTCTCAATGTGTGTGAGCGTTTGTAAAATACTTTATAATATAAAAATTATACACATATTTCACACACATATAAATATCGCTCTCAACTCTTCATTTTAATGGCGTGAGCGTGCACAGAAGTAACAGACCGTACTACTACTCTTGGCTAAATTCGTGAAAAAACTCAAAAATCAAAAACCCATTTTCTCAAATTGCTATTTTTTTTTTCATTTCAATCAACAGATTGAAAAAAAAGCGTCGAGAAAATATCCATCAATCTTCCTTCATGTTCATGTATTTTTCTATAAACTTTGTCTCTTTTGTTTGAAATTTTGATCTGGGGTTTTGTTGTTTTTGTGTGTGTGTGTGTTTTTTTTGAATTTTTTTTTTTATTTGGGTTTGTTATATATTTCGCTTTTTTTGTTCCTACTCTGTTGTTGAATATTAGCGTAATTTTGGGGGGTGTTTGTTAATCTGAGATGAAGAAAAGTGAAAGAGAATTTGATAATAATTATTCTAGTGAAGAATCTCATTATTATCATCAAAAAATGTACGAGGGTGTTGTTCAATCTTCTGCAAATTCTGGGTTTTGTTTTCCTGATTTTGTTGTTGGTTCATCAACAGCATCATCATCTTCTTCATCAGTAAACCCTTTTGATCATTCACGTTTTTCAACGCCAAAACCCCATTTTGTAGATCAATTTTATGTGGGTCATAATATACCAGATTCTTCTTACTATAGAAGGGTTAACAATGGTGGTGTTGTTGGTGGTGGGGTAATGGTGGATGAGCTTGGTTTAACAGCAGATTTTCAGAAGTTAAGTATTGGAAATTCTGATGTTGTTGGACAATTTCATAGAGATTCAGATGTTTTTACGGGGAGTGAATGTAATGTAACTGAGAATTTTGGGGTTTTGGAGGGTTTATATAACAGTAATGGGTTTTCTGGTAATGGGGGAGGGTTTCAATCTTCTGTGTATAGAGATGAGAAGGGTGTTAAGGATTTTAGATTGGGGGGATTAAGGGAGGGGGTAATCTAGCCGATTCGTTCGGGTCGAATTCAGGTTATGCTGCTATGCATGGTCATCATAACTATTTGATTAATTTTCCTTTGGAAGGGATGAGTCAGATAGGAGATGAGTGTTATGGGAATGGTGGTGTACCATTACTTAGAGGAAATAAGTATTGTGATCCATTGCCTGTGTATGGAAGTGGTGATTTTCGAGGTAATGTTTCGATTCCGAGGGGAGGTGAATGTAACAGTAATGGAGGTGTGATTCCAAGTGAAAATGTAGGGTATGGTAATGGAATGTTTGAGTCTGGATATGGCCCTCATGTGATGGATGGCTGCAAGGAGATGTTGAATCCTTGGGGAAATTCACAGAATTTGTCTATGTATAATAAGCCTGGTTTGAATGAAGCTTTGTTAGAGCAATATGGACGGCAGTATCCTGGCAATGTGGGTAGCCTAAGTTCCGTCGATCCCTCTCAGTTAATGTATTCTAAGCAGGGTTTAAGTAGGGGAAATGTATTTTATAACTCAATGAGGGAAAAGATGAGGGCTGTTGAAGAAAGGGAGCGTCCTTTGCCTGTTACTTTGATGAGAAGGACAAGGAATCTCGAGTCCTATGGTTCTGAAAGGACTTCGATCTTACAAGATAAGGGATTTAATGGAGCAATTGGTAAGAATTGTCAATTAGGTGGTCGTACGAAGAATCTGCTTAGTGGTAACACAGTGCAAAACATTGGGGAGAGGAACTTTGAACTTAATGTTCCATTGCAGACTGAAAGAGCTTGTGAAAATGGTAGCCATGTGCTTAGCTTTGATCCTTTGGTGCTGCAGGCTCTATATAAGTCATTGGTTGAGGTTCGGGGTAGGATTTATCACATGGCAAAAGATCAACATGGTTGTCGCTTCCTGCAGAAGAAGTTTGATGAAGGGTCATTTGAAGACGTGCAACTCATTTTTAATGAAATTATTGACCATGTTGTTGAGCTGATGATGAATTCCTTTGGAAATTATCTAATCCAGAAATTGTTGGATGTCTGCAATGATGAACAAAGAATGAGGATTGTACATGTGGTGACCAAAAACCGTGGAGAACTTGTCAAAATTTCTTTGAATACACATGGGTATTGCTATTCAACATAATGAATAGTTGATCATTCCTTGTTAGTATTATTTATGAACTTTTTCCCATGATTTCCTTTGACTGGGATTGGTTTTTTGTGTTTCAGTACACGAGTGGTGCAGAAATTGATCGAGAGCCTTAAATCAAGGAAGCAGATCTCATTGGTTATTCGAGCTCTTGAACCAGGATTTATTGATCTTATTAAGGATCTTAATGGGAATCATGTTGTCCAGCGTTGCTTGCAATGCCTTAGCAGTGATGATAATAAGGTATTTGTCATCTAACAATACACAAGATTTACTATGTGACTAATATAGATTATAGCCTGCTCAAAATTGAGTGAAGCATTCTTACTCTTATTTTGCTGGTTCCTGTTATTTTCCATCAGTTGCTTGTTTCTTCAAATTTTTTGCGACTAGCATGTACATTATTGATGAAAGATATTTGTTTAGTCACAGAATTTATGCTCTTTTGTTGTTGCACTTTACTTGATGAAACTAGAGTTTGATTTTTTGCCAAATCATTGTTTCATGTCAAGGAGCTAGTGTTCACTTTCTACAATTGCTAGGGGATTGGTACTACTGTTTCATGTTTTCATTGTTGCCTGATATATAGTCATATAGAAGGGGTGGTTTGATCACATTTTCATGTAGTCTAAGAATTTGCATTGTTAAAATGGGAGACCGTATCATTTAGACGAGAAGATTGATTTAATTAACAACTGATCTAAGTTTCAGCTTCATTTTTTTTGCCATAATTTTTTTTTTTTTTAACTCATGGAGCTTTTCCCTTACACAATGTTAGTCATTAAATTATTACTTTCATTTTTCCATTTCTAGTTAATGTCATTAATATTAATTATTTTTGTCTAATTAGTATATCCGGTTGCTGTTAGTTTGTGAAAATGTTGTTTGCATTCTTCATTACTAGAGTGAATTTTGTTTGGAGCTATATTACTCTTTTAGTCTTATTGCACTTATTTCTCCATTTAACATTATTTTTACATGGCAGTTCATCTTTGATGCGGCTGCAAAGTTCTCTGTTGAGATTGCTACTCATCGGCATGGGTGTTGTGTTCTTCAACGTTGTATTTCTCACTCCACTGGTGAACATCGGCAGAAGTTGTTAGAACAAATATGTAGCAATGGCCTTATTCTTGCTCAAGATCCTTTTGGGTAATAATCTGAACTGTGGAATTCATAAAATTACTTTTCTTGCTCAGATACACTTAAAGACATGCTCTTTCTGGTTAATGCAAATTGGTATTGAGTATTACTCGTCATAAAATGTTATGCGGATCTATTTGTTGGACATTTGCACTCAGGTTTGCCTTGTTTATGTTTGAAAAAAGAGGAGAAGCCGTCATGAATATCACTTATTGTTATAGCGGATTTACTTTCATGAATAAATTTCATCAAGCACTTTTAAGTATTTGCCTTGTTTACTACAAGTACTTTACTACTCACATTTAGGCTCAACAAATTTAACCTTTTCCTTGATGGCTTGAGCATACTATCATAAAAGACTTTCAAATATATATATATTTCTTTTCATGTCTATTTGAATCTGAATTATCATCCATTTGCTTTTACTGAATGGAAATTTCTTTGGAGTTGTTTCTCCAGGTGTAGTTATTTGAAAACAATATTGTTTAGCTTTGAATTTTTTCTATTGAGGTTTCTTTCTCTATGAGTGCATGTCTGTAGTGTATGAGCTTTACTACATCTTAGGCTTGCAGGGTAGGGCATAGGGGAGTTTTAAATTTATAATTAAAATTGTATAAAAGTTTTTATGGTTTGCTGAAGCTAGCTCATATGTACTCATAAGGGTTCAATTATTTTGCAACGTCATGAGCTTGTTCTCATATTCCTACAGCTTTATATCTTGTCTGTTGTACTGGAGATCTGTAGGAGGGGAATCTGAGTAATTTTATAACTCATTTAGTCATTTTATATATGCATATATGTGTGATTTGCATTTGCCACTTTAGAGGTTTGAGTATAATTAGGAGGGGGCCATAAAACAATTTGTTTGTTTGTAGCTTATCTCGTGGCCTTTATAGTGGTACATTCAATTTGCTTATATGAAAACTATCAAATTATAGGATTTGATGCTTATATTACTTTACATGTTTTCATTTTGTATGTTGTGGATATGCTGTGAAAGCATTGTGATGTATTTTTTGAGGTTTGTTCTTATCATGTGAGGGAACAAAGAAAGGTTTAAAGGTTAAGAGTTTTTGGATCATTGTGATTTGTAGAATTTCTTTGGTACATTTATTGAAGTGGTTGACTTAATTTAAAGCTTAGTTTAAAGCTCGATTTTGCTTAATTGGTATGCACAGTGGTGTCATTCTTGACTGAAGGTATCTGTGCTTGTCAATAACGACTTTTTTGTACGATATAATGGTGTAGTGTAAAGTAGTAAGCTGCTGCTCTTTTTACATATTGCTGTTCTCTCTTTGTCCTATAATAAATCCACTCTTCCATTGAAATCTGTGATGGGAACCTTAAGTTTTATACTTCGTATTTATTTGTCTGAAGAAGAGCTATGCCTAATGCAATGACTTAAATATAAGAGGGGCATTCATTTTAGATGGTTATATATTATTTCATGCTCAATTTTTCAATATAGTATTTATAGGTTATGAATTAAATGTACTAGTGATGGGAACCTTTTTGTCACATTTTTTTGGCCTTCTGACTTTAATATTGTCTTCTATCTCAGAAACTATGTTGTGCAGTACATCCTCGAGCTAAAAATTCCATCTGCGGCAGCACAGCTGGTTTCTCAATTAGAAGGGAACTTTGTGCATCTCTCCATGCAGAAATTTAGCAGCCACGTGGTTGAAAAATGCTTCAAGTTTTATGAGGAAAGCCATGCAAGGATTGTGTATGAATTGCTATCAGTTTCTCATTTTGAGCAACTTGTGCAGGATCCTTATGCTAACTATGTCATTCAGTCAGCACTTGAAAACACCAAGGTCTGCTTATAAACGCTTCTTCCTTAACTATTAGTTTTTGTTTCATGTTACGCTCATCTATGAAGTAGCATAATATCATGCTTAATTAGTGAATTGTTATTTCAGGGTTTTGGAACCCAAATTGTAATTTGTGATTTTGCATTAATAAGAAATTAAGGATAGCGGTAAATTTAGATGGTGAACTGCTATAACTAAGTGAGAATTTGAAACAGGAAAACTATGAAATGGATATGAAATGGGGTGATGATTATTATTTGTTTAGTGTGAGCTGAAGAAGGATATTATCTTGCTGATACGTACCAATTGTGTGAGATGATTCTCCTCCTTTGTTCACAATTCTATTTTGCTGTTTATGATTATTTTTGGATGAAGTAATAATATTAGAAAATGGTAACGAATCTTGTTTGTATTTTGGTATTAAAAAACTAATTGTTCCACATGAATATTCAAGATAATGCATCTCCACTTGGAAACATACCCATGTCTATATGATACTGACCGATAATGGTAATCAAGAATTAATGAAGAATAACACATATTTGGATGCATTACCTTTTGTTTTTACCTAGGACATTTCGTGCCTAATTATGCTGAGTAGCTATTATTTGTTGATATCTGATGATTTGCTTTGTTTATTATGTCATTTTTTTGTACCATGTTGTACATGAGTCATTGGAGCTGTAAGTGTTAGTTAATTTTCTTGCATTTCATACTAGTCTTCTTAGGTTTGAGATTTGCAGCCTGGGGCAGTTTGATAGTCAGTATTCTTGACAGTGCTAGCTGTTCATTAGAATAACTACTTTAAAATTACATTTCAGTCTGTATGATGTCCTAAATGTCCCTTTATGCAAAATTCTGTTGCAGGGTACTCTCTATGAGTCAATTGCTACAGCTGTTCGATCTCACTCGATGCTACGTACCAACCCATACGGCAAGAAGATTTTCAGCCGAGGGTTGCTGAAGAAGTGAGATGAGAAGGAAGCTTTTTTGTGTGTTGTTTTCTGCAGTAAAGAATGTTGTTTGTTACTTCTACAATAACCAAACTTTGTGAGTCTTACTTACATTAATCCGCTTCGTGTTAGCTTTTTAGCTAGAGAAATCTTATATGACCTCATGGTCTCATGGGCATGTACATCGTCGTTTTTGGATCCCTGATTCCCATGAAGCTGTTCGGGTGTAAAGGAATTTTTGCTGCTCTCAGACAGAAAGATTTGAGGTGTATAGATCAGAGCTTACTTAGCTGCTGCTTTTCTTGTTGATGACTTCAGGGCAGGCTGAAGTTTTAGTTACTATTTTCTTTTACTCATGAAACAATGAACAAGTCTTTTTTAGGGTTGTAAAAATGTGTGTTTTTGTGACATTTTCAAGCTAAAATTTAGTCTTTTTGACGTTGAACGTAGTGATATTATATGGTTTGCATGGCCAACTTGATACTGTATATTATATTAGGTACTTGAGGGCCATAATATGGCGCTTAGTACGTTGAATATAATGCTGTAAGTCCTGTAACCATCATTATGGATGGGCTCCATTAACTACCCTTTTTTTTTTTTTTTTTATTTTGGTTTTGTCATTGTACGTCCCAAGTACGAGGTCAACCATTTTCACATTGAACTTATTTTACAGTATATACTGCCTCATTTCTTTAGACGAATGGAGTAGAGGAGTCATGTAGCTTTGGTAAAATGATATGAGCACCGTTGAGCCGTCCACGGTCTATCTTTGTGGTCGCGGGATCTTACTACATGATTTTGTTATTCAAGGCTATCTTATGATAGAAAATGGATTTATTATGTATTTATGCTTCTTATAAAGAGTTGTTCTCTATATAATCTTTCAATAATACTTCCTCGAATCTTTTTTGTATGTCATGTATCTAGGATCTGTGACTCATGATGTGGTGTGCCACAATTTTTAAGTAAACTTCTTTAATGTTACTCACAATTAACTACAAATGCTCTTTATCATGCATTCATCTCTGCAGTAGTGCAGTTCCTTTTATACAAAGTTTATCACTATAAATTGCAAATATATGTTACTTTCGTTTCTAAATTATGTTACTTTTGTCCCTAAGTAATGCTTAAGAAAACTTAAATTCTATAAGTGTTGGTAAAGAGACTTTTTTATTCTTCTGATATGTAAAGTTTTAAAATTTAACCCAAAGTTTACAAGTCATAGAGAACAATTAAAACAAATACTAGGGAATATAATTTCCAAAGCTGGAAACAGATTGCTTGGATAATGTTACTTTAGTCTTGTCATATTTTGAGGGCGCTAAATAACCCTTTAAAATAGTTCTTAAAATGGTATTAATTTGAAAATGCATGCTAAAATCACGCGTCGATCGATGTAATTAATTTTTATTTCAAGTTTTTTTTTTGTTTTTTTTTGGGGGGGGGGGAGGGAATAGGGAGGCGTGATTTCATTAAATAATAATAGTCATTCGACACTTAAAATTATCTCTTAAGAGATCTAAATTTTCAATATAAGTAATTAACACCTCTAAACTAATGACATCGCTTCTGAACTGCTCCTGAATAATTTTTAGATATTTTTGCATCTTTCTTGACGGAGCTCCATTAATGTATAGTCGCGAAAAGTGATAAAACTTGATTGGTCAAATTTCAAGTTAATATTTTTACTTTTAGTTATTTTATCCAACGCCCCCGAGCCGTTCGTTAGCTTTTGCCTTATGCTATACCTAAGTGAAACTCTTAGAGTTGTAATAGAAAAAACGTTCATTAATTAGTACGAGCACTTTGCAAAAGTTTAAAAATGAATGACAAATCAGTACGGTGTAATTAATATATGATTTGACTTAATATTTCAATTAAATAAATTATACAATAGTATGATTCAACTTAATATTTCCATTGTAAGTTTTTACTTGTACAATAAATATCATTTACTTTTAAAAATAACCAATAAAGGTAAGTATTACTCTATAAGTTACAAAACACAACCAAATGTCCAAATTTTGACTATTTGATTACGGCAATTACGCTTATACATTCAGGCTTACTCAAATTATTCAATTCAAATAATCGAATACGAATCAGTTCTAATCATAGAGTCGAGAACCCACGTGTTCTCACACAAATACTTGTATTTTATTTCTTTTTTTTTTTAAAGTAATCAAAAGGGGAAAATCAGTCCAAACAAAAATAAAATCAAAAGTACCTTAGCTGTCAATCAGTCATCGTTCACAAGTTTTATACCCCAAAGTCCCAAACCATCACAACCCTACTACTCCCCTCTCACCTCACTTCTGCACACCCACACACACTTCGCCCCCTCTTTTCACTTTCCCTCTCCTCAGGAAATTGCAGCAGCACTCACCTTTAACAATGTCGCACTTCGGCAGAGCTGGTCCTCCTGACATTCGCGACACCTACTCTCTCCTCGTCCTCAACATCACCTTCCGTATTTCCCCCTTTTCTCTCTCCTCCTCCTCCATTTTTTTCCTGCTTAATTTCTCAATTTAATCGATTAATTCTTGATCTTTTTCTAAATTTTTGACAGGTACTACTGCGGATGATTTGTACCCTTTGTTCGATAGGTATGGCAAGGTTGTCGATGTCTTCATCCCTCGTGACCGCAGGTTTGTTAGGGTTTTCTCTTAAATCTCTCCTTTTTTTTTGTTTTCTAGGGTTTATGGGGATCTTGTTGATTATTGATATTTTGTCGATTGATTTGATTTTAGAACTGGTGAATCTCGTGGGTTTGCTTTTGTTCGATACAAGTATCAAGATGAAGCTGCCAAAGCTGTTGAAAAGCTTGATGGTTGGTTTTTATTTTTTCCCAATTTATCCATTTTTTTTTCACTTTTAATTGTAAATTGAATTGTTATTCTTTTATTTGGGAGAAGAATTGGAATTGGGTTCTCCTTTAATTGTAAAATAATCGTGTTATTCCTCCAATTGGGTTCAATGCGCAGGCAAGGTCGTTGATGGCAGAGAGATAATGGTTCAGTTTGCAAAATATGGTCCTAATGCTGAGAAAATGTGAGTGATTACACAAATTTGTTTGATTTTCATTGGTTTTTTTGGGTCTTTTGATGCTATATGTTGTTTTTGTGTGAAATCCTCTAGTTAAATTGCTTATATGTAGACAATGTATTATGCTTAATTCAATGGTGAACTAATTATATATGGAGTAACAATTCAAAATACGAGTATTTTGGTAATCTGCTTAAGACAAGTGTATTGTTTTGCCACTTCAAGTTTCTCCCTTTCCATATAGTTTTTCTTTGTTTCATCAGTGCTATACTGTTAAACGTAAAACAAAAATGAGTTCCTGAGATATGATGGGTACAGTTGATTTTTGAATTAATCTAAATTGGCCTCTTTTCATTTGTTAGTTTTGGTTCTAATTATTGAGGGGAATATATCATTGTTCTTAATCCTGGCCTTTTTCCTGTACCACATAGGAAAAGAAGTGTTGCTCTATTTATTCTTACCTATAGTGTAGATCAGGATAATATAGACACAGGGAAGTGCATAATTTGTTGCATTCGTGTCGTGGTGTTGGATTTGCTTTGTATCAGTTCAAGCCTCCTTTTGACATGTACTGCGCTCATAGTTTTTGAAAAAATTGTTATTACTTGCCAACATATAGTGTCATGCAACTTTTGGAGTGGCTTGTACTGCTAAGAATTAGTTCTCATTTCTAATGGACTTGTATTTTCTTGTTTTCAGTCAGAAGGGGAGAATACTAGAGCCAGTCAAGACAAAGGGAAGATCAAGAAGCCCTCGTCCTAGGTGAGCAACAAGATTCTCACTTTGATCTGTCCCTTTTGTTTTCTCCTAAGTTATTGTTATTCATGCTATAATCTAATGCGTATAATAAATTTGCTTTTAGACATCGGGATGACCACAGGGACAGAGATTATAGAAGGAGAAGTCGCAGTAGGAGCAGAGACAGGTCTGATAGAGACAGGTATCGTGGGAGGGAGAAAGATTACCGCCGTCGAAGCAGCAGGAGCTACAGTAGAAGTCCAGACCGTCGCAAAGATGATGGTAAAGGGAGGTATGATGATGAGAGGCGAAGCCGAAGCAGATCATATGGAAGGTACTATGTTGACCTTTGTCTTCACTATCCAGTTTTGTTATATTTCCTTCATCCATATAACCTGACATTTATTTATTTATTTATTTATTTATTTATTTTATGTTATTTTTATAATGATAGTGCCTCACCTCGTAGAGCCAGTCCCAGTCCTAGGAGAAGCCCCTCACCAAGGAGAAGCCCCTCACCAAGGGCATCTCCTAAGGATGAAAGTCCTAATGGACGTGCTCGTGAGGAGCGATCTCCAGCTCCCAGAAGTGCATCACCACGTGGGCGACCAGCTACTAGGAGTATATCGCCACGTGGGCGACCAGCTGATTCTCGTAGTCAGTCTCCCCGCAAATCTGATGTAGATGTGAGTTTTTCAGCAATATATCTGTCTTCTTGGTCAGCTTAAACTTTTATGAAAGTTGTAATGGTGATTTTGCTTTTTCAGGAGTAAAGGTCGCTGCACTCGACTAATGCTATGATCAATGCTTCTAATGCCAGCTCAGTCTGCCGGAGAGCCTTTTGCATGTCCATGTTGTTCAGTGCTTGACTTGAATTGAAGTGTTTGTTCAAAGTTAGAACTTTCTTAGTTGAATTCCATGCTCCTATCAACTTTTCTTGGTATGGTCCTGATGTTTGGCTGTTGAGCTCTATGAGCAGTTTATTTGTCATTATGTTATAGAACTTGAGGTGGTTGGATGGTCTGTTAGTCTTAAAGATTATCTTGTGTTATTTTGTGGTGTTTTTATGCTTGTTTATATCTTTAAGCCTGCTCCTTTTCTATTTCGTATACTCCTTTCATGTTAAGATACTTTAGTACTTGCTGTGTTTTGACATCTAATTTTGTTGATTTATTTTGTTTTGAATTGGCCTTTCTGAGAGTTGACTGCATTGTGGTCTGCTCTCTGGAAATTATGATTTAATTCAGAGACTGTTAGATCCAGTGATGGCGTATATGCAGAAACTGTTGAAATGCACGCAAAATACTATCATAAGTATTTTCTTAGCATTGCTTCAATGCTGAACTATTAGGTTTTCGTAAGTTCATATGTTTTTGGAACTTTTGCCTCCTTTGATGGCAAATATACTTGTGTGCATGTTTGTTGGGTATTTTATGTAGTAGCCTTATTTATTGTTTGAATAATAAATATGGCTACATTAATTATTTTTTCCGTTTTATATAAACTATGGATGATGGTGTGGTGTACAAATAGATCTCTTTGCATGTCCTCATTCCTTTAGTCTTATTCTCTGAAAACATCTAACTTCTAGAGTTGCTTAGGTCAGAATCAAGCTAATCTTTTTCACTATATCACAGCACGTGAACTGCTGTAGCTGCGCACGTGAGCTCGTTGCTGTAGCTGCTCACCCTATTTATTGCTAGTTTTAGTTTTGGTGTTGATGAATCAATGCCCTACCTTGGACCATGGTAGCTGAATGCAGCTGATTACTTTGACTATATCTCTCTACACTAGAGCATGTGAGCTCGTGATTGTAGCTGTGTTCCTGAGCTCGTTGCTCTAGCTGCTTGAGGGATAGATATACGTTCGTTAGATCAATTATCCCTGCCTATGCTGCTGTTGGCTCCTGCTTTATTGCTTATTTTCCTGCTGATTATACGTAAGTTTTACTTGCATCTCTGTTAGCTGCTTGCATCAAGTTGCTGTCCATTTTTTTGTTTAGTACTGTTGTCATTGCCTGTGAGCTCTTGACTGTAGTGGTTCGTGTGAGCCTGTGGCCGTAGATGACAGATTGATAGGCAATTCGTTTGTAGATCGTATGAATGATGCTGACTTGCTGCTGGCAGCACCTGATTTATTGCCTTGCCTTTCGCGGTTGATGACTAAATTCCTGCATTTGATTCCCTTGCTGATTTCAGCTATCAACTTGGAGTAGTTCGTTGTTGTCTTCCATTTTGATTTACTATTAAAGCCTGATGATATTTTTTAGTAGGAAGGTTTGCTTTACTTGGTCGCGTTTAATTGCATAATTTTGTCAATCTACACTGGTAAAATTTGTACCATATGTTAACAGCAATTGACAAACAAAAGTTTATAGTATTCCTTGCTTACATTGGAATTTAAGAGAATTTTGCGTTCTCATCTTTGATTCAAATTCAATATGTTAAATGTAACCCAATAAGTAATTGTGAAATTGTGGGTACTGAAGCAAACTTAGCTTTAAACCAATTTTATTATTCTTTTGAATAAATGATGCAAGTTTTAAGCACAATGAGAGTTGGTCGAGACAAACTAGAAGGTGACTTTGATGTCCTTGTTATTCCAGTTGTGGTGGTTGTCTCAGTACACTGAGCCAATCTGGCTATCTATGCTATCTTAGCCAAATGCGAATTTGTTTAACATGAATAATGTACTTGTGTTATGGTTAAATATGGCACGCCTGTTTTGCAAGTCTCCCAGACATTTTTTCGTGGTTTAACTTGAATGGAAGAATTCAATCTTCCCTACATTATCATCTAAAATTCCCCTTTGCCTGAGGATCGCAGGACTATACTAACGTAGTAGCGTTTGGTATCATAAGATTCATAACAGATTATCAACGAATGCACTATTAAAATCATTTACTAGTAAGCAATTTAATGTTTCATATTTTTACTTAACAAATACTTCGTAGTTATGTTTGCTCCCTAATTTTTTTTTTTCCTTCGAATAAGAGTTTAGGAGGAGCTACTATCACATATTCACAGTAGAATGGCTTGAATCTCAAAAACTTAAACAAGATGGGGATGTTTTTGTTCTCAAAATACACTTAGAGCTTACGGTTTTTTTGGTTCAATATTTATGGGCCAGGTGCTTTAAAGTGAGCGGAGAGGGTAAGTAATCTTCACCCCTAAGTATCACTTACCAAGTAAATCAAGACGTTGTAAATGAAGGTCTCTCGGTATGCAAGTATGGAAAGTAGGTTTCTATGAATAAAAATTACGAGTAGGAAAAATTGCTATTAATAAGACATCTTTTAAGTGGTTGTTTTTAAACAAGACAACCTTTTGAATTTTCCTGAATATTACTTCGTATAACCTTTGGTGGTGTCAATTTTGAACTAGATATAAACGGAGAATCAATTTGGGAAAATTTGTTGTCCTAAAGTTTCCAGGCGCAAATGAGTGAAATGACTACAGATTAAAAAAAAAAAAAAAAAAAATTCCTCTATTGCGCTTCACGCATGCACAAGAAGTGTGTGACTGTGTGAGTAGTAAAACCAAAAACAAAGTCTAGAACAGAATTTTAACAGCTGAATTGACTGTGTATCCTTTGGTACCACGTTCACTAATATATCATCAGGACATTCAATTCCACCTTTGTAAAGTTCCTCCTTTGTGCTCTTACGTACTTCACTTTCATTAGTCTACTCTCTTCCTATTTTTGGTTCTCTCTTCCGTAGACGGAATATAGAGAAGTAGCTCAAAAAAGAACCAAAAGAAAATGGCAGGAGGAAGTTTTGTAGGAGACAGAGGGGGCCCTTGAGCTCGAGGCGAATCAGGTGGGCAGGTAACAGCCGCTGTGGTGATAACCTGTACTGTTGCTGCCTCTGGTGGACTCATTTTCGGCTATGATATTGGCATTTCAGGTATCGATCATTCTTCAGCAATAAAGCTAATCCATTTTTATTTTAACAGTATATATTGAGCATAGTTCTTGCATACTTGAAGTTGAACAAAGATAATATTCGATGTGTGTTCACTCGATCTGTTCATTTTAAACACGAATAAAAGGAGAAAACAAAAGAAAACAGTTGTCATTTGGCTGAACTTAATAGTTGTTATCTAGTAATTTTGATTGACTGGTAGATGAGATTAGATGATTAACAGATATGGTTCTCCTTTGTTGAATTATCAATTTAGCTGACTTATTGTATATTTTAGAGAATTTACATGACTGAAGACAAGTTCAAATATTCAACTATCTTATAAAATAATCGAATATTCAACAATGTCTTGAATTTCCTTCTTTTGTACCTCAGGGGGAGTAACAACAATGGTACCGTTCTTAAGAAAGTTTTTCCCACTGGAGAAATCAGGGGATGCCAAAACAAATATGTACTGTATGTATGATAGCCAAGCATTGACATCCTTCACATCTTTTCTCTACATAGCCGGATTAGCCGCTTCCCTAGTGGCCAGCCGTATTACTGCAAAGTTTGGACGCAAGTTCACCATGGTGCTCAGTGGCTGCACCATTCTTCTTGGTGCTGCTGTAAATGGTGCTTCTCAAAATATTGCTATGCTCATCATTGGCTGCATTTTGCTAGGATTTGGTGTTGGTTTTACGAATCAGGTTAGCATAATTTTTAAAAATTAGTGTGTTTGGTGGCCTTTCGAGCTAATGCTGTTTGTTAATTTTGAGGATTAGGGACTAATAGAGACCCTTTATTCCCCTCAAAACAAAGCTCTTGCAAGTTTCGTAATTCACATATTTGTAATTAATTTTTTAATTTATGTGGGATGTTCCCATAATACCGTCTCATAAACTAGAAATGGTATATGATTGTTGTGAGTACGTAACTAATTGTTGTACCAGCATAATAAGAATCCTCTTTTGAAAAAGATGGTTCCCCTGCATTACAATTATAATCTGATCATTATTTGCTTCGACTATAACATTTAAGTATTGTAATTCAAAATCATGGCCTTATACCATAGGCAACACCATTATATCTATCAGAGGTGGCACCTCCAAAGTGGCGAGGGGCATTCAACACTGGATTTCAGTTTTTCATAGGCATTGGAGTGGTAACAGCCAATTGCATTAATTATGCAACAGCAAAAAAAAACCTGGGGATGGCGGCTTTCCTTAGGCTTCGCAGCAGTCCCAGCAGCCATAATGATCCTAGGAGTTCTGATCATTCCTGACACCCCCAGCAGTTTGGTGGAACGAGGCAAGATGGAGGAGGCTGAGAAGTCCTTAGAGAAGGCAAGAGGGGATAATACTGATGTAACAGCTGAGTTTGCGGAGCTCATCAAGGCTACTGAGTTAACCAAAGCAGCTAAAGAGGAGCCCTTTCAGACTATTGGCGATTCTTATCCCATTCTTTCAACAAATTACTGGGATCAATGTCATTGCATTTTATGCCCCTGTCTTGTTTCAGTCTATTGGGTTTGGTAGTGACTCTGCCTTAATTGCTGCAATCATTCTGGCGTTGTTAATCTGAGCTCCATACTTGTGTCCACTTTTTTGGTTGATCGATTTGGTCGAAGGTTCTTGTTCCTGGAAGGTGGTGTTCAGATGTTTATTTTCCAGGTACATTATACACTCAATTTACACCACCTATTCCTTCCGTTTCAAAATATAGTTACATCACTACATGGTTTTGGACCACCTCATTGTGTGCAGCTTTGGCCTAAAAATTATAATATCTGTCCAATTCAACGAAAATGTAACACGACTTCTTGAAATGAACCTGTGTCAATGATTACCACATTTATCCTGAATTAGTAAGTCACATGTCTATTATAGACAGTTCCAAGATCATACTCACAGGCCACTTTGAACATTAACATTTAAAGGATACCTTTAACTATGTGAATTAAACAATCATATACGAGAACTGATGGCAGTGTAGTTTATCTTTTAATGTCATATTAGCTCAGAAAATATGGAATTTTTATTATAAACTTGAGTATGTCTAGTTTTCTATTTCTATCTATCCATCCTGAAGATCACAGTGGCAGGAGTTCTAGCAGCAACAACAGGTATATCAGGAACGGAACACATATCCAAGGGAAACACGGTGCTAGTGCTAGTTTTCATGTGCATCTATGCAGCTGGTTTCGGGTGGTCTTGGGGACCCCTAAGCTGGCTTGTGCCAAGTGAAATCTTCCCATTGAACATTAGGCCAACAGGCCAAAGCATAAGCGTTGCTGTTAATTTTGCCACCACCTTTGTACTTTCACAAACATTTTTATCAATGCTGTGCTGCTTCAAATTCGGTGCCTTCTTCTTCTATGCTGGTTGGATTGTCATAAAGACCATCTTTATTGCGTTGTTCTTGCCAGAAACAAAGGGTATACCTTTAGATTCTATGCATATTGTGTGGAACCAACATTGGTACTGGCACAAGTTCGTCAAGCAGGAGCCTTAATACGCGATTTATTATGGAAGAGTGCTAGTGAATCACGATCTGTTTACAAAGACAACAAAGTTTAGTTTAATAGTAAGCTGTCTTAATTGTACTTCATAGTAGTACATGTTCTGTTTAATTCTGCGATATCAACCTTGAGGCTGTTGAATTGGAACCAGTTCCAGAAATGGCTTTCTATCAGACCAATAATAGCCTTAATCTATTATGAGATATCAAGACTTTGATTACTAACATAATTTATCTTTTAATTTCCAAAAAACATATACTAGTAGAGTAAAACCTCTATGTGACATTAATATCTTCGAAACTTGAAATGATAGGTTAGTATAAGAATGTGCTAACGTCATATTGGTCTTATCAAATAAGAATGTCTGACAGGATAAAAGTCATCATCTAAATAAATAAGGCCTATCAATTGCTGAAAAATATGTGTTCCAATTCTTAGTTATGATGTTTTAATATGTTCCAAAAGATCATGCACTCACTCAATTATCATTATCTATTTAGAAGTAAATATATATAAAAAAAAAAAAAAAAAAATTGATAAAAAGAGTTGTAAGTAATAATTTGGACATTTAATTCAATCTTATTGACTAACAAAGTCTTAGGACAATAAGTCCTTGTTCAACAATTAATATTGAATTCAACTTATTAAAATGATGAAGATGGTCCAGCTGCTTTGAAATTGGATTCCTAAATATGGAAATCCGAGTTTGAAAGCATTTTTTGGATGAAAAGAATTAATGAGAAGTGCAATTTTTGTGTTTTAAAATTGCTGTTCAACATGGCCAAGATGGGTCAGTCAACACACTGTATGAACTCAACATGAGTTTGATGGTCCACCAAATTTCTTCCGAGTGACGGTCATTTGTTATTGGCTGATCGTCAATGGAACAATCGGGCTGGGCTAATTAACGGGTCTATCCATGACTTAATTGTGTAAAGTGTATGTGGACCATTTATTTTTGACAAAATTATTAATAATTTTTTTTCAAAGAAAT